GTGTGTGTGTGGCCAGCTCAGCCCACCAGGGGGCGGGCTGGCTGGCATGTGGTGCTGGGGGATTGAACCGTGGTCCCTGTGCTTCGCTGAACTTGTTCTAAGTAGGTGCTTTAGACCACTGAGCCATCTCTCCAGCCCCAACAACCCCATTTCTGTGGTACCAAAATCACACTTACTTCCCTCATCACTGGGACATGGTACCCAACATCTACAACTTAAAGGAGAAAGTTGACTTATTTCGACTCATAATTTATAGAATTTTTAGTCCACACTCAATTAGCTTCAAGGAAAGTGGAATGGCAGAGAAGAAACAGCTCATGGCAAGACAACAGGAAACACAGAATCAGATCAAGTGAGAAGAGAAATAGATACACGCTTCTAAGCCCTTGCCCCACAGCCCACCTCCTCTGACCAGGCTTCAACTTGCAATATCACATTTAGCTATAATCCACTGACTATCATACCCTCATGATTCAATCAATCCCCCAAAATGCAACATATGATCACATGAAACTTCAGAGGAGACATTTACATATAAACAGTAATGAACAGCATCTCTCCCTTTTTCCTCCCTTGATCTTTCATTCCTGAATACCATGCCCTGAACTGCATCTTCTCTGTCAAGATCCTCTGTCATCATGCCCTGCCTTCGAGCTAGCAAAACATGGACTGAAACGTCTAAAGACTCAGTAGAAATAAACATCTCATGTTAAGTTGTGGGTATCAGGTATTGTTCACCAGCAAAAATGGAAGTCACTAAGACAGATTTTGGTACCACAGAAATGGGGTCTTTGCAGTGATGTTACCTGATTTGGAAGTTTAGAAGCATTTGGAAATGGATTGTGCAAGGAATTTGAACAGGTTTGGAGATGTCAACTGGAGAAGCAGCCCTAAAATGTGGTAAGCTTGATGGAAAATTCTGGACAGAGTTTAAAAGACCAGAATGTTATCAGTAATGTACCTGATAAAGATCAGGCTCAAGAAGTTTTAGGAGAGAAAGTATTCATTGGCAGTTGGGCTATAGGCCATGTATGTTATACTCTGGAAGAAAATTTGTCTGTATTTTTGCTCATGCCTGGAGGCTTTGTGAGAGACAGACTAAGGCCAGCAAACTTCCCTGGCAGAGGAAATGTCAAGATAGCCCAACATTCATGTATTTGCATGGCTATTTTGGGGAGATTTTAGCTGACTCCATCTGGAGAATCAAGAGCAAAGAGTTTTAAAAGTTTTGAGTTCACGGAGGATATACTTCAGTAGCATACCACCTACCTGGCAAGTGCAAAATCCTGAGTTCAATTCCTGGTATCAAAAAAAAGTTTGAGTTTGGCTACAAAGCAACCAGCAATAAAGTTGAGTCCTGGAAAGATGGAATGTGGGAGAGCTTGGTTGTTTAACATTTAAAAGAAGGCAAGTACTTTGGCACTGGATAATAGGAAAGCTAACGGCATGTCAGGAAGAATCCAAGACCCACCTTTCACAGGCTCAAAACTGTAAAAGGTAAAGACTTCGATTTAAGGAGAGAGAGCCAGTGTACTCTGTTGTAGAAAGCCCAATTAAGGAATTGATTCTCTTGGATTCAGTTCAATGTGCTCAACCATCCAGGCACTTGGAAACCTCTGCAAATAATAGCAAGATGGAAAAGTGCTCCACTACTGCTCTGACAGCAGACCTTGGCAACATTCACAAAGGTACTGGTTTTAAATGCATGCAGAATGCAAGAGTTATAATGGGGTCAGGGAGACTTCCTCTCAGATTTCAGAAGGCTTCGGCAGCCAGGTAGTGTATCCCTAAGAGCCAAATAAACATGTACTGAAAACTCTGGATTTCTAAGCAAAGATAATACGCCCTTAAGTTGTGACTGTCGGGTATATTTTCTAGTGACATAAGAGCTAACTAACTTATATTTTTAATCTACCTCTATTTTTAGAATATCAGTAAACTATGTATTTTCTAAATAAGTCTTCATCCTGAGAAGACTTCATGTTTTAGAATAAGAGAACAAAATAAATTTAAAACTATAGTTAGACAGGAACAATGCCTCATATTGTCCATGTTATTAAAGATTAAAAAAATAATGTCCCATACCTAAATTTTTAATATGGAAAACTTTTTGGCATGTGAATCCATATTTCATAAAGACCTAATTGAATCACACAAGAAGTTGTACATACTATAGTGAAAAAGAATCCTAAAGTTGGGCCTAGTAGGAAAATTAAATCTAATCCAGAAATTTGGTTCAATAACTGAGAAGTTAATAAGCTTTCAAAATAAAATTAGAAAGTGCTAAAAATAAATTAATGCCTCTTTCTAGATTCCTACATATTCATAACAGGACAAATCATGGAAAGATATAAACTATGACAAATACAGTGATAATTCATTTTCTAACATAATGGAAATTTCTAATTTGTTTATTATTTAACAAAAAATAGAAAACCTATTTATTCTTTCTCTTCTTAGTTTACTCAAGAAATAATTAATGTACCATGATACAGTTGTCAAAAGCCCTACATACACAGGTAGTTCAGCAGTTTGGTTTTTTGGGGGAGATGTGGGAGCAGAGATTTTAAACTAAAGGGGTTGGGAAGATGGCTCAGTGGAATAAATGCTTCCCTGGCAAGCGCAAGGGCCTGAGTTCAATCGCTGGATCCACCCCCCCAAAAAAGAAGAGAGATTTAAACTATGCTTCATTTGATACATATGTTTTCCATTAACTTCCTTTCATCATCACTTTTAAGGGAAAACATGATCCTGAATATTTTTCCTAGTAAAGACTTTTCTAAATTTAAATTTTGATGATTTTTTTAAAACTCACAAATCTGTTCACAGAATTTTACAATAATCAAATATGAAGTCTACAATATACAGCCTATTTAAGTTTCATATGAAATTTAAGTAGGCTCTGTATTTTAGGGTGAACAGCAGATATTAAGTTTCCAAGCCTTATGGAAAATTATTTATTTAAATTACAAAACTACTCATGAAAAAAAAAATCATAATGTTCCATCTGGTTTATTCTCAAAGAAAATAGGCCCCATCCCAAATAATACAATAGTAAAGCTACATGTTATACATTTTACATATTATTGGTAAAAATGAACTGCAGTTCCTTTCCTACCTCAACTTCATATATATATATATATATATATTTTTACATTTTAAACTTTTATACAGACATTCAGAAAGCATTGAATGCTACCATCGATAAGACTTACGAATCAACATGCAGAACCCTCTGGCCACTCCTTGAACATGCAGCTGCAAAGATGGATTCAGGCAAACCTATAAAAACACACACCTATATCATTTAGAATGTAAAAATATATGTATATTCTTATAAAAAATTTTCAAGTCATGCTATCATTGTAGACTCATTGAAAAAGAAGAATTATCCTTGTTCAAAACTACAGTTTGCACTAATTATATTACTAGAGGTTCCTTAAACATACACCACTGCTATAGACATTTTTATGTAGAAAATATTTTTGAAAAGACAAAATTTATATATTTTCACCTGAAAATTATCATAAATGAACAACTGTAAGATTACTGTTTGTATAAGTTTGATGTTTTCAACTTCACCAAGAAATAAATCTGTATATGTATTCCAAAAATGAAAAAGCAACCTGAAATTCAAGTATGTTAACCTATTATTTATTCACAGCTTAAAAATAAGTTATAGAGTACAAACTGAAACTCATATCTATCTCCAGAGCTATAATGCCTCTAAAAGGGAGCAGCACACTTTTGTTGGTTTAAGAAATATGACCAGGTATGGGCACATGCCTATAACTTAGCACTTAAGAGGCTGAGACTGGAGGATCACTGTGAGGACAAAGCCAACCCTACATAGGTAGCAAGACCCTGTCTCAAAAAAAAAAAAAAAAACAAGAACTATGTTACCTTATTCAAAAAGAGGCCATTTATAAGATATAATATTTTACTTTTAGTCAGTATAGTAGTTTGCAAAGAAAAACTGCTTTGAATTCAAATGTCATATAATAAAGCTGATTATTATGAAAGGAAATATGTATCATTACTGTCAATACAAACAAAAAGATAAAATGATCAAAGATAATATTGAATAATTTAAAACTTCAGGTTTCTACTATATTGTAAATTCCAGCATGTCATTAAGTTTTTATCAGATCTTCCATTTCAGTGGACATTCTTACATTTTTATATCAATCATTCAAATAAACCATGTTTAAAAGTTTAGTATAAACTCAGGCATAGTGGCTCATGCTTATAATCTCAGTATTCAAGAATCACTGGCAGAAGGATTTCCTCAGGTTTAAGCATAATCTGTGTTACACAGTTAATCTATGTTACACAGTGAGTTCAAGATAAGTCTAAACTACATAGCAAGACTGTCTCAAAATAAAATAAAATTGTACATAAACAAACATGAAATAAAAGCTTAGTACAATTCTTTAGAACTACCACTATGAAAAAATATCCTAATCCCCTGTACTTCACATAGTAGCAAAAAATCGTGCCACTGTTTTGGTCAGAGTTTAAACCATACACAATACATCAAGGATTTCAGGAAAAAGATATTCTTTGAACAAAAGTGTTATATGTACATGAAAGCAAGAGAAAAACCAATCTTGGGCCAGCCAAATAGCTCAGAGAGAAAAGGAAAAAGAGTACTAAGTAAAATAGGTGGAGTACTCTTTTTTTAAAGCTTTGCCTAGTAGGCTCCCTAACTTTACTCTTTTTATTTACTTTAAGAATACTTGCTTGAATTTTTCCTTTTCCCTATGAGGGTTAAATTCATGTTAAATATTCTTACTACAACACATTTTAAAAATAAAAGAATGGGGTCAGGGAGATGGCTCAGTGGAATAAGTGCTTCCCTGGCAAGTGCAAGGGCCTGAGTTCGATCCCCGGTTCCACAAAAAAATAAATAAAATAAAATAAAAGAGTGGTTAAAACACATTGTGGAGTTTGAACTTAAACCTTTACAAAATGGAGTCTTAAAGAGGATTTTAATATAACAGCATAAAAAAATCAATGTTTCAGAAAAACATAAAACCTCATATCCCAGGATGGAGTATAAGCTTGCATAAAACTGAAGTCTTAAGTTTAAAAAAATGCTTATTTAGGAAAAAGTAACACAAACCTTTGTTCCATTGACAATTTAGTAAAATGACTGCTAGCTTTGTTTAAACCAGTATAAGCTCAATTTTAATAACTTTTAAACCTGTAATTAAATATAAATTCCTTCTAATGCTTAAAAAAGAAAACAACACCTGAATCATTACCCAAATTCACATAACATTCTTATAACACATTTATATGAGACATAAATTGCTTATATGAATTATATAATACTGGCCTCGAGGAAAAATTAGAATGAGCTAAAAACAGATAATCCAGATCAAGGTCAAATCCCACACAGCATTCCACAGGTAACACTGTAAAAATGTGTGAGCACAAACATACAAGTATAATTTCAGATTTTTTTTTTCTAGTACCAAGGATTTAACTCAGGAACCTGCGCTTGCCAGGTAATTTCAAATGTTAAACGGAACTAATAATATACTTCATTATCCCCATTTAGAGAGGGATGGTCAAAATGATATGAAACACCTTACACAATGCTTCCTGGTATGTCACTGACATTTGATAAGTCAAGATCAAGAGAAGATACTACTTCTCTTCCTTCTACACCCTACTCCCCCAGTAAGTTCAGATATTTGAAAGAAAAAAGGTTATTCACTTAACATTTATCTATCTTCAAAATCTAATGACTTAAAATCATTTCTGAAGTGCTTTTTAAATACACATACACAAGGAAAGCTTATCAAATATTGCTTATCATGTAAGCTTTATATATTGAACATGATTACTAAATTGCAAGGCTGTACCAAAGAATTTATTCTGCCATAGCATTACAGGGAACAGGTATAACTCTGATGCACAACACCAACACTTATAGGCAAGTCATTTTATTAAGAAGGTAAATATAATGTATGAAAATAGCATTTCACAAGAGATATAATGGAAGAAATTGAGGTTTGGTTCATCACATCCTTCTCTACTGAAGTTCTGCTATAGAGTTAGCAACTAAAGGGAAAACATACAGTAAGAATACTATTACGTATGGTCAAAGTTTTCACTATTTTCTAAAACCTACCTGGTAAAATAAAGATGTTTCACTATCAAATGAAAGAAGTAGGCTATAATCAAGAGAAAATGGTAGGAAATTAATACTTTCAATAATTTCCCCATAAGATTTTACAAGAATGAGACGAGTTTTCATTGATTTTTCAAACTCCCCTTTTAATCCAAATCCTCAATGTTGAACCTGATCCTTTAAAATTATAATACTTAAGAAGAAGGACAGGAGAGGGAATGGGTGAAAAGATATATCTATGTATGGAAACAGGATGGTTTGGACAACTGTACTGTGGATTTCTGCTGGTCTATGGAAAGGAGC